TTTCAATTTTTTAAAAAAAAAATTACTTTCTCATTCTAAATTTCATTTTTCATCAATTTTGGTAAAAAAACCCAATTCCAGTTCTTCATCTTTTAATAATTTCATCAAATATAAGTGAAAAAAGACTTATTAAAAATCTACTAAAAGATTTGGTTCATCATTGATTTGATAAAAAATTTACTTCTAGCTTAATTTGATATAAGTTTGATGAAAAGATTGGATATTATTTTCACCAAGAATTTCATCAAATTTAAATTTGATGAAGGATTAGAGATGTTATTACGAAAGTAGAAATTTTTTTCCAGTGTGCATTGTATACACTGTGTGAGTCTGAATAAAATTATAAATAATATCATACAAATGTATAAGTTGAATACAAATTTTCGAAATCATATAAGTTTCACAAATTTACGTGAATTTGTATTCAACCTATGTAATTTTGTATAAAATTGTACACAATGTGCATTGCACACCAAAAAACTACCTTTAACGAGCAATTATTCAATAAAATAAAAGGAAAATTACTCTTTGTGCCCTTTATGTTTGATCACTTTTCTACATTGACGCTTAAAATTTATTTTTTTTCTCAATTTGGCTCTTCATGTTTTAAGTTTTTCCTAATTTACTCTTCAACCAATTTCTATTATAAATTAAAAAAAAAATGACACATTAACAGTCGTGTAGCATACAAATATTTTATTATATATAACTCACATCTCTAATATAAACTTAAATTTTAATATAATAATATATTTTTTTATGTTATGTGACAGTTATTATGATATTTTATGTCTAATTTTTGATAAAAATTAACTTTAAAATATGAAGAGTCAAAATGAGAAAAATATAAATTTTAAGGACCAAAGTAAAAAAAAATGGTCAAACATAAAAGAAAAAAATGTCTAATTTATTCTAATAAAATACTATATATCATTTGTTTATTATTATTATTTTTATTACTTTTTTTTAATATCACTATATATATATATATATATATAAAATGAGAAATTTTTTTTAGGGTCCCTGGTATTAAGATTTTATAGCATAAAGGACATTCAATATTTTAATTATGTCTAAGGTCCCTTAAATTGATCCAGAGAAAATTCAATTTCGCAGAGAAAATCTCACTAGAGAAATTTTGGGAAAAGAAGAATTTCTCTAGATTTTCCAGAGAAATTCGCTTCAACCAAGAGAAATTCTTCAAAACCAGAGAAATTCCCTCTCCACCCCAGAGAAATTCACTCAAACCTAGAGAAAATCTCCCTCCAAACCAGAGAAATTTACTTGTGTTGTCTGCAGTTTGATGGCTTCAGTGATTTGGATGCATATGACAACACAACACTAAAAGTAAAAGGAGATGGAAGATGTTATATTCCTATACTGTGAGCTTTCTTCGTTGAGAATGTGCTATTGAGAGGCTTGTATATCTAGTGCTCTGTCTAGGGTTAATAGTTGATATCAGACTCTTCAATTTGTACTGAACTTTTAGCATACTGTGATGCTAATTTATATAGAAAATTGGGTCAATTCGCGTGGGCATGAGAAGGATAATTCCTGGCAACCCACAGAAATTTCGATTCTGTTGAAAAAAAATGCTAATGCAGAGAAAATCCAAAGTCAGAATCATAAATGCAATAAGAACAATCAATTTGGAGTTGAAAAGCAGAAATCAAACCAAGAGAAATTCTTTGTTTCTCTCTATAGAAATTTTAATTTTGTTGAAAAAATTGCTAATGCAGAGAAAATCCAATACTAGAGAAATTTGAACAACCAGAGACGTACCAGAGAAATTTGAGACCTACCAGAGAAATTTGAACAAAGCAAAGACCTACCAGAGAATTTGAACAATTTGAGAAATTTGAACAAACCAGATACCTACCCCATCAGTTTTGGCAAATGCTATTGAATGGAAAACAAGTCTCCAATTTCAAAATTCTACTAGGATTAGTTCTTACTTGGTTAGATGGTGCAGCTAAAGGAAATTCAGGGTTAGCCTTTTTAGGAGCTATTATTAGAGTCATCTACTGAGATTCGCCGAAAAATACCCATCACCGGCAAGATGAACTTTGCGGTGGTTGTCATGGAAATCGACAGTTTCTTCCTTGCTGTGTTGAAGCGCACGAGAAAGAATCAAAGGTCGGAGCCAAAGCAAAAACAAAGTGGTGGTGGTAGTGGGGTTGAATTCGTCGATTACTTGCTGGAAAAGTTGCTTCTTCTTCGGCGAAACCAACCGGAGCTGAACAATCTAGGGCACTACAAATCATTGCGTTGCCAGATTTGGGTTGATGAATTTGTAGATTCAGAGAGAGAATTACGCTATGTTGATGAACGCGAATGCTATTTCGACTCTGAATTTGGATTTGGATTCGGGTTTGGGTTTGGATTTCGATTCCGATTCGTTTTCGGAAGAGAGATTTGGAGATTTGATTAAGTGAGGTTTTGATTTAGAGAGAGAGAGAGAGAGAGAAATGAGATTTGATTTGAGAGAGTCAAATTTCTCTGTGATATATGTGTGTAGGGTTGAGGGACCTTAGACATTATAAAATAATATTGTGGATCTCTTCCATTACTAAAAATGGGAGAGAGATCTTAGACTAATTTTTCCTATAAAATAATACTATTATCCTCTTATTCAATAGTCACGAATACCATCTATGTAATATCATTACATTGTGTTCTTAATTGATGACCAAAATTATTTTGATGTACCCAAAAAAAAAAAAAAAGATGACCAAACAAAAAATAACTTGAGAGGCACAAAATAACTTATTGTATTTCATGATTTTTATATGTTAACAATATCATATCATATTTTATGACTGTTAATAAGTTTTTTAAAAATTTAGAGTTAGTAATGCATATATTCGTGAATGTGTATAAATAATATCGATAGAAAATAAGTTGAGATAGAGTAGATTAAGTTGGCTTGATCATATATAATGGAGACCAATGAAGTCAATAGTGAAAAGAGACGATACAATTACGATAGATGGAAATGCTAGGGGAAGAGATAGACATAGATTGATGTGAGATGGTGTAGTGAATAGAGATATGAATCTCTTTAATTTGACTAACCAAATAGTCTTTGATAGAGCCGAATAGAGACGAAAGATTAATGTAGCAGACCCCATTTAATGAGACACAAGGTATAATTTGATTGAATCTTGTTCTAAATAAAGACAATCAAAGATATTTCATTTGTAAACGGTCCACTTCAAGTGCAAAGTTGTCATAGAACTTATTTTGTATTGGTTAACTTGTATGTATGTTTGAAATGTAATGACCTTTTTTTTTTAATGAATAATGTTAGAACTTTCTTGGTTTTAAAGTTCTGTTTAATTAGATTTTTAGAATCTATTTTTATAAATTTTTTCTAAGAAACTAAAAATTAAATTAGTAAAAAAATTAAAAACGCATTATTTTTATAAAATTTTATCTTTTGAGATGGTAGAAATATATTTTTTTTTCCTGATATTTGTTTTCATTAAATTAGCTTCTATTTTTTCAAAACTCAAATATGACGACAACTTTAATATCCTTATTAAACCAATACATTAAATTAAAAAATTCAAAATTAAAAATATTTCATATATTAAACAAAACCTTTATAACTATCATTACATAATAACTATCCAAAAATATCAATAAAACAACCACCCATTATATGATTATCATCCAAACACATATTAAGAATTAATTTAGTAAAAAAATAAAAATGTAACAGATTTATAATTTTTATATAATTTTATTTTTTATAGGTAGAAATATTTTTTAAAAATTCATAAATAATTTTTTGACAATTATTTTTGTCAAACTAATTTGTATTTTATCAAATTGATGACTTTGCCTTTGAAATAAAGCAATAGTGTCTTCAATTATCTTTATTTAGAACAAAATTTAAAATTTAAAATTAAATATATCACAATTAAAAATTTAAAAATCAAAATAACACAAATTCAAAATTACAGAAACCGTTAATGGAATTCACTCATTATGGAATTGTCAATTTGCAATTGAAAACCTACAAACGTGACATGAATCTGACCTATCGCTCGAGGTATCAATATATAATGTATTAATTTTAAAAATATGTATCATAAAGGAAGTTATAACTTTTATAATAAAAGTTACACAAATAAAATAAAAAAAAAAATCCTAAAATTAAAAAACCCTAATTTCTCATATTATTCACACAATTTGAAGCTAAAGATTGCTTTGAAGAATTTCTTTTCCCCATAGTTTGGTTAGTTCTATTTATTTTTCTCTTTAATTGAAAAAAATTCAAAATTTTGTGAAATATTTTTACTGTATTAATTTGTTTTGACTAAAGAACCTAAAATTTTTGTAAAAATAACTGAATTAAAAACTAATTGAATTAAATAATTAAAAATTAGAATTAAAAAAACCATAAAACAACTAAAACATTATGAAAAAAAGCTGAATTAAAACTGAAAACACTTGAATTAACATAAAACAACTAAAACATTATGAAAAAAAGCTGAATTAAAACTGAAAACACTTGAATTAACATTTGAAAACAACCCATAAAAACAAAAAAATACCACCTAAATTAAATAATTTAAAAATTAGAATACAAAAAAATAAAAAATAAAAAAAACCCTAAAATATTAGGGAAAAAAAACAAATGATAAAAACGCCTGCTTTCGCTATTAGAGAGGAGGAAACATAATAACCTAAAGATATAAAAATATCACGTTAAAAGAAAATAATAATGATATAAAAATAACGAAAGTGAATTTGCTCAATTTGGAGGGAAAAAAAAATACAAAAACACACTAAAATGAACATTAAAAAACAACTTAATACCACAATTAGAAAAATTAGAACAAAAAAAATAAAAACCCCATAAAAACAATGAAAAACCAACTGAATGAAACAATTTAAAAATTAGAATACGACATATTTTGAGGAAAATGACTTTAACCATACAAAAGGCTCGAGAAATTTAGGCCTCAAATCATTTCAAGAAAACATCTAAATATAGCAAAACATTTGCAGAAATACTTAATTAAATGTAGAACAATGATTTCACAATACATACATAAATAAGGAGTGTAGTAGAGTAACAGCAATAGAAGCAACAACGAAAACAATTTATATAGCAAAGTTTCTACATCACAAGGGACCGCAATCATACCTAGAATGATCATTTTGCTTACGAAAGAAAATAACCATCAGAACAATACTAGCCAATTTCACCAACATTGATGAAGGTCCCACTAGCAAACCAGTGAGATAAGTTTGCATCGACAATCGCACCACCCTCATCCTCCGCTCTTTCACATACTGATCCATTGCTTCTCCAACTTTATGCATCATCATCTGACTTCGGCTTTGGATTTGATCAACTTCACTAAGTTTCTGATACAAACATCTAGCGAGAACAATAGCATCTTCCAAACCTGCCGAACCACCTTGTCCAAGGAATGGACCCATAGCATGCATTGCATCCCCAGCTACTGTTACTGTTCCTTTTCGAAATTTTCCCAATAGCAAGTCCCATGGAGCACGATATCTCAAGCGCGTGAGAGATAAAGATTCTACGTCACTGTCTTCGATCATTTGTTGAATTTCAGGTGGGAAACCATCGATTGAGGGTAGGGTTGACTGTCTAATAAGGTCTGGATTTTGTAAAGCCCTGGCGTCTGTCCACGTGCAGGTAAACAACATAAAAACAAAAAAAAAAGAAGAAGAGCATACCGCCTGTAGACTGACCTTGTGCACATTTGCACATCCTACGCTATTTATAAGCACACAGAGAAAGCAACTAGCATATTAAATCAAATGTATTAGAAAATACTATTACCTTTAGGAGTGGATTGTTGACCCACCATCCAGTGGACTGACTTATCATCAATTGGAACTCTTCCTACCATAATGTTATTCCTCCTCATTCGGACAAATTCATGGGCAAATGCATGGCCACTTGGATACTTCGTCAAACCTCTCACAGCAGACAGGGGAAATGCTTTTGGGGGTTTTAACTCGAGGAAGTCAGCTACCACCGAATTTGTTCCATCACATCCAATCAAAACCTGCAAGATTAGTAACTTTCCTCTCAAATTGTTTTTAGTTCACTACTGTCAATATTAGTATTTCATCTTCTTAAAACTAAAATTAGTAGATAATTCAAATTCACATATTGATTTGTTAGGTGCACCTGATGAATTAATGGACCAGACAATTTATCTATAAAAGAAAAGAGTGTGCATGAGAAATAAAGTGATTTAAACATTTTTTTTTTGATAACCAGGTGTTCGGGCCAACTTATGCACACCTCGACTGAATCCTGGGGCTCTGAAGTTAACAACAAGACAAACCTCCAATGGCCTCAAGGTTTGGAAAGTTTGAACTTTGTGGGTCTTAAACCCGTGACCTCTTGGGTGGTAAGCCCTTTGGTTGCTTTCTTCATCTACTAAGCCAAACCCCTTGGGGTTAAGTAATTTAAACATTTGGTTACACAATTTATATTTTCCCTCTTAAAAGTTCATCTCTTGTGTTTGAGATATGATTATCTTGCTCTTTTAAAAAGGTTCTCAAGCTTTGAGCCTAAATTTATTCAAATGGTTGGGTCGAATAATGAATAGAGATTGATTCAACCAATTTATCACAAACCTAATGAAGCCTTCAAGCTTGTATGTGTATTTCGGTGTATGAATACAAATACCTGAATGTTTTTGACGAGCTCCAGTCTATTACTCAAGTGCCCTTATTGACTAAGAGGCACAAGATTACAATATGCATGGATGACATTGCTAAAATTATGCAATAATAGCTCTTTTTTGTCGATCTGGTTACAAGCAGCAACCTAAACAAGCTAGGAAAACACAAGTTTTCTAGAGAGTTCTTCATACCCCAATATGCAGCTATATATGCAAGTAATTTGCAATTTCTTGCTATCAAATGTGTATATATATATATATATTACAACATTATTTGTTTGACTTCATGAGGAAGAGACATCTCCCATGTCGCATGAAATTAGAAATTGATGTTAATAAGTATTGTAAAGGAAATGATTCCAACCTCAAACACACAGGAAACTAATTTCAATGATCTTTAAAGGTCCTTCCTCAATTCAAGCTTTGGAGGACAAAGATAAAATAAAAGGGCTAGCCATGCATGTTTGCACTACAACACAAGATGGATCATAATGCTGATCATGTACATGTGCATGCATAATAAATTGGTTACAGAGTATGTTATTGTATACAATTGTCATATAAAAGCAACGCAGTGAAGATTGATGATGAACATTAATTAATTACCTTGGCAACAATACACCTGCCATCAAGAAGTTGGAGAATTGGATAGGAAGTTAAAGGATCCAGCTTAACGCCTACTATCTGGCACCCAAAATGTATTGTATGTGGTGGCAAAGCGTCTGCTAGTGTATTGATAAGGTCACTCCGCTTCAAGCATCGAGTTTCACCATGCCTATCCTATCAAAAGCTGGCTTAAATTTATTTTTTTTTTTGGCATTTATTAAAATATATTTAATTGGATTCATTCCATCCCTTTTGTGTAATTAAGCCCCAAATATCCTCATTAACTTTGGGCTCATTAATTTTATAAATTAGAACCCCCAATTGAAAAACAGCCTGATTCAGAAAAATAAAATAAATAAATAAATAAAAGGAGAATTAAACATTTGAGCTTACCCAAATGATGTTTCTTTGGTTGAACCCTTATCAAGCCATACCTCTCGAGCCCTATACTTGTGCAATGGCCATATAGTTAGAAGTAGTATATATGCCTGGAAACATGCATTAACCATAGACTACTTTGCAATAATTTGAAATTTGCTTCACATTTATCCGTGTTTTCATTTTTTAAAGGTTCTGAAATTCCCGCAAGGGTGCACGTTGCATGTAGAAACTCATCCGAGAGTGGGGGAAATTTGTGATACATAAACTCTAGAACACAATTTTGTGTTCTAATTCTATGCACCTAGCATTTCTGTTTGTGATATAAATAACTCACCGAGGCATGCCATTTAAGTGTGAGACACAACCCTTTTTGAGAGTTGTTATGTGTGATAAAATAGGATGCAGCTCTTTTCCAAGTGTTTTATCCAATAGAATTCAAATTGAATGAAACTGTAACTGCCAAACAAGTTCCCACATGAGAGGTTTGTCACCACTCCAAGAGGATCAATTGGATACAGGAGGGTGCACTGTATTATGGTGTGATCACCTCCTATTCCATCATTATTTAGTCGCAATGTAAGAATTACAAAAAGAGATTGAAAATTGCAAGCTTATGTTCTTATTCAAAATTGAACTACCACAAAACCAATTTGAGATTTTGAGCTACTTGCATCGGCCTAGCTAGGCAATCAAATGGCAATTAATATTTTGGCTCTAGGCATAAATTTTTTTATTAAATTCTACCAGTGGTAGTGGGTTGAAGATTAATAAAAAAAATATGAATAGATCTGGTATTATTTATACACAAGCTATACAACTGAGTTTTCACACCATCACATTTTCCTACATAGGAAGAAAGGAAGGACCTATGTAATTATTTGTGTAAAATATACACTCGAGAAAAAACAAAAATATATTACAAAGAAGTTGCAATTTAATTTTTTTTCTGAATATGTTTGCATAATAATTTTTCAAAAAAGATATGTGCACAGAAAATTGCACAAAAATTTAATTGTTGGTCCATATTCAAATCTTGTATGGTGGGGGGGACCACTTTTTTATGTTTTTGTGCATTTATTCCGTGTGCATGTAGTATTTCTCTAATTTTCTGCATATGCATGTAGCATTGCTCAAAATTTTCTCACTTGTATGTTGCTACTCATAGGCTTATATAATTTTTAACTACGATGAGAGAAAACCAAGGTAATATTATTATGTGTGTTTAATTTCAGTTTTCTAAATTCAGTTTTTTAAAAATTGAATTTTTTGTTTTTTGTGTTTTTTTTTTAATTTTTAGTGAATATTTTTAAAATTTTAAGTATTTTTTTTACTTTTTTAGATGCACTTTACTTAAATGTATCTAAAAAGTAAAATATTTGTGAAAAAATATTTCAAAAAATTAAGAAATACACAAAAATACGGAAAATATATTGAATTTTCTTTTTTTTTTTGGTATTTTTGGTATTTAGTGAATTTCTTAAAGATTTTTTTCGCAAAAATTATACTTTTGAAGTGTATTTATGTTAGGTGTGTCTAAATTTTTTTTAAAAAAATACTTAAAATATTAAAAAAAATCCAGCAAAAACAAAAAAATATAAAAAATTAGAAAATAGAATTTTCTGAAAAGTTTTTTTTAGAAAACCCAAACCAAGCAAAGTGATTCTTTTCTTTTCTTTTTGTTTTATGTTTTCATCATTTTGGAGCTCCCAATACAAAAAAAAACTTGGATCTCCATGCCCAATGTGTTCCTTGAAGTTTCACACCGAAGATCATTTTCAAAGGTGTAGAATTTTTATTTTTTTTTGAGAAAATATCATTTTTCTCCCCAAACTTTTGCGCATTTTTCAATTTGACCCCCAGACTTTGATTAATATCAATTTTACACTCAAACTTTCAAAATTTTGATAAATTTGGCCCTTGCCGTTGCATTCCGTTTACAATTAAAAGGAATGTGCTGACGTAGCACCTAAGTTCATTTGAAATTTCATTTTACTCCCCAAACTATACCTTAAAAATCAATTTGCCCCCCGTCACCATATTCGGTCCAATTGTTGACGGAATGTGACAGTAGTGGCCAAATTGATCAAAATTTTAAAAGTTTGAATGTATAATTGATATTAATTGAAATCTGAGGGTCAAATTGAAAAATGCGTAAAAGTTTAAAAGATGAAACGATATTTTCTCTTTTTTTTTTCTTTTTTTTTTTTTTTTGGGGTTTTTTTCAATGTGTTGCTTTAAGCTTCATACCTAAGAGCATTTCCAAAGGTGTAGAAAATTTTCTTTTTAGGAGTTATTTTATCACAGTAAAAGTGCACATAAACAGACTTGTTATGCGCTGCTCCATTCGTTAATATTTATTATGCTAAAATAGCAAAGGTGCTCAAGCAGTATAGTATTGTTATTGTATTTGTAACTCGTTTTTCACTACCTATCAACCACCATTCACTAACTACTAATTTAAGTCGAAGTCACAAAAATAAATAAAAATTGCATTAAAAAAAAAATACAAAATCATGGAAAAACAGAAAAAGCTCCCATCAAAATTAGAGAGTTTGTTGACTGTGATATTATTTTAACATAAATCTCGTTTTTACTTTGTTGATAAGATAATAAGCTTTTGCATAAGGCTCCTTGTTAGAGTTATCGAAGTCATAATAATCATATAATTTTATTTTTTGGTTCTCTATTTCATTCATGACCTCCATCACTCTTTTCTTTCTTTTAGAGCATTTATAAAAAAGTGAAATGGGAATAGCATTTCTCAAATGAATAACATTTCTGGGACCTTATGTGCCGAATATAAAAACACAAGCGCTATGTTTGGTTGGGAGATTTGAGGAGGGATTTGGAAAGGAAAAAGAAAAAGTTAGGTGAAATGTGAATAAAATATACTCACATTTCACCTAATTTCACACACCTTTTCCCTTTTCCTTTCCAAATCCCTCCCCAAATCCCCCAACCAAACACAGCAAAAGTAAATCATTGACCTATCAACCAGTATGTGGTAGGACAAAATTAAAGATGTAAATATGTATATCTATTCTATGGGTGATTCATTTTCATAAGAAAGTTATTATCACAAACTTAATAAGTAATAATCAAATACCATATAAAGGTATAATAAAAAACATATTTGGTCGTATTCAAATTATAACGAATACAATACAATAGGTCATAATTAAAAATTACAAACGTCATAAGTGGGGTGTGTGTATATATTATCGGGATGGATTGTACTCCGGTTCAAAAGGATGGTTGTTGTAAGGGCCTGTGGGGCCACCACAGGTCCGGTGCAATGATCTGAATCGTTTATTTTATTAAGCTTTGTGTGTATATCATTCATAAATAAATAAATAATAATAATTAGATTGATACGATATTTGTAACGTGTTTATTTTAACGCAAAAATAGATGATTTATTTTTAAAAATATATTGACCATAAATTTTTTTTAGAGACCAATTCAATAAAATTAATTGCCTACGAATATCATATCGACCTAATCTACATACACGCAAAATCTAATAACATGACGGGTTTCGAATCATCAAAATCACACCCATAGATAGCACCCTCCGGTCGAGATTTGGACAGGAACGACGCCCAATCCTTACAACTATGAATTTCAAACACATGGAAAATTCAAACATCTAGTGTGTGAATATATATATATATATACCGCTGAAAAGGAAGAGAAGATTGTCTGAGAAGAGAAGCGAGGCCAAGCTGATGAAGGGCGAGCCAACCATTAGTCAAGATCCCAATAGCTGCACCAGTTGCCCTCAATGTCTCTGATCTTTCCAGAACCACACTTCTCACACCCTTCCTGCACTTTTCAATATCATTTTTATGTTCATTTTTTTTTCTTAATCAATTTCCTCATTAATTATCACTATACATCTCCGTTTACCATTTAAAAAAATAAAATAAAAATAGTGTGAGGATGAGGAGTAACCTGTGTAGAGCAAGGGCGGTGGCAAGACCACAAATCCCACCGCCGACTATCACAATCTCATGCTCTTCTTCTTCTTCTTCTTCTTCTTCTTCTGCCTTCAATTCTCTCCCATCCATCTCTCTCTCTCTCTCTCTCTGAGAATGGACTTGACTTCTGTAAAATATGGACAGAGGATCCAAATCCCTCTGTTTCCTCAGTTGAAATTGTTCATCCATTTGATCATCGCATTTTTTATTTTATATTATTAAATAATCATTTGGTCGACCCTAAATAAAATTTGAATGGGTAAATTACACCGACCTCCTGAGATTTATACTTATTACAGTTTCTCCCCTCACGTTTTTAAAATTACATCTCCGTCTCTGAGGTTTAAAATTTCATTACAGATTCTCCCTCAACAATTTAATTTTTTTAAATATCAATTTTTCCCTCACTAGGTAAATTACATTGACACCCCTTACATTTTAGAAATTACAATCCCCTCCCTAAGGTTTAAAGTAGCATTACCAATTGTCCCCTCGGTTAGTATTAGTTGGAAAAAAAATTCATTGAAAAAAAAATTAATTGAAAAAAAATTTTGTTAGTAAAATTTTTAAATGTCTGATTAAAAACCAACATAAACTTATTTTTTGAATTTATGTTTTTTCTTCAAATTTACAAACTGAGGCAACTATTTATAAACTAAAAAAATTATCAAACAAGTTTTTTATGACAGTTTTTAAAATTTTTGTAAATATAAATTGAAAACTGAAAACGAAATGGTTACCAAACAGACTTCAGATGGTAAAAATGTCATAAAATTAACAAATAATTAAATAAGTTACCAACGTAAGAAATGACTTATCAAAAGATTCTTAGGCTATGTGCCTGTTTTGTGCAGCTTAAAAGTTACTTATTTCAGCTTTCAGCTTGATTTAAGCTATTTTGATGTGTTAGGTTTAGCTTATAGCTTATAGCTTTTTGGAAGTCAGAAATCAGCTTATGTTTATAGTTATAAGCTATAAGCTGTTTAGGCATAAGCTATAAGCACTTTCTCACAGCTCTACCAAACAGGGCCTATGTATGGTTTGATTTTTAGAAATTTTTTTAAAAATTAAAAATTAATTTGGTTAAGAAATAAAAAATAAAAAACTATTATCATTTTTATATAATTTTATCTTTCGAGTGATTAGAAATAATTTTTTACAAATTAAATTGAAACATCCATACGTATGTATATAACCTGCCCAAAAGTTAAAATGATAATTATTTTTTATTTTTTATTTCTTAACCAAATTAATTTTTAATTTTTAAAAAAAAATTTCTAAAAATCAAACCATATATATCCTAAGAATATTTTGATAAGTCATTTCTTACGTTGACAACTTATTCAATTATTTGTTAATTTTACAACATTTTTACCATCTGAAGCCTATTTGGTAACCATTTCGTTTTCAGTTTTCAATTTATATTTACAAAAATTTAAAAAACTGTCATAAAAACTTCTTTGATAATTTTTTTGGTTTATAAATGGTTGTCTCAGTTTGTAAATTTGAGGGAAAAAAACTTAAATTCAAAAAATGAGTTTATGTTGGTTTTTAAACAGAAATTTAAAAATTTTACTAACAAAATTTTTTTTCAATTAATTTTTTTTTCAATGAATTTTTTTTCCAACTAATACTAACCGAGGGGACAATTGGTAATGCTACTTTAAACCTTAGGGAGGGGATTGTAATTTCTAAAATGTAAGGGGTGTCAATGTAATTTACCCAGTAAGGGAAAAATTAGTATTTAAAAAAATTAAATTGCTAAGGGGGGAATCTGTAATGAAACTTTAAACCTTAGGAAGGGAGATGTAATTTCCAAAAGATTAGATGTATCTAAAAAGTAAAAAATTAGTAAATACATAAAAATACGAAAAATGTACTGAATTCTCGTATTTTTTTTTTTTGTGTTTTTGTGTTTTTGGTATTTAGTGAATTTTTAAAAGGTTTTTTTCATAATTTTTTTACTTTTTAGGTATACTTATGTTAGGTTTGTCTTAAAAGTAAAAAAAAATTGCTTAAAATATTAAAAAAATTCAGTAAAAACAAAAAACACGGAAAACAAGAAAGTAAAATTTTCTGAAAAGTATTTTTAAAAAATTCTAACAAAGCAAAGTGAATAGTAACTTGATAGAAAGGAATTCTAGTTGTGGCATTAATTTGTAGTTTTTTAACTAAAATTTGGCTAAAGCTTTAACTTTGTTAGATGGAGATGAGCATTCTCTGTTCTTATTGTGGGTTATGCAGAGGCAAAAATGACCATGAAAGTACACAGCAGAAGAAGAAAATTAATTATTGGCAGTACATCGTCAGAGCATTCATTCGCGGCAGAAGTAATTGCCGGCAATGCAGATCTCTTAACAGAGATCCTTATACGTATGCCAGCAAAGTCCCTCATCAGATTCAAGTGCGTGTCTAAGGATTGGCTGTTTCTAATCTCCGATTCACAATTTTCCTGCAGCCATTCTCGCCAAAATCCCATTCCCTTGTTCTCAGGACTTTACATTAGCACTTCGTCATCAAACGATGAACAAGTAAAGTCTGTCTCACTCGATAACCACCACCCAAGTCTTCCGACACTGTCATTCCTTGCTGGTATTGGAGATGGTTCTGCTACAACTAGGATTAAGCACTCTTGCAATGGCTTACTGTTATGCTTGAATGGCCTAACGCGGTTCATTGTTTGTAACCCGACCACCCAGAAATTCACAGTACTTCCATATCCTGGTGGCCCTTCAACATCTTCTGGACCATTTCGTGACAAGTTTGGTGTTTACTTCACTTCATCTAGATCACTTTGCCACGTGTTTGGTGCTTATTTGGCTTTTACTCCCTCAAAATCACCTCACTACAAAGTTATATTGATAAGTTACTCTAGCAATTTTGATGAAGGCTTTTACTTAATTGACTTGTACTCTTCGGAGAGGGCGTCTTGGGAACACATAAGTGCCACCGCACCACCAGGTTACTCCTTCAGGAAAAGGGTCTTTTGGAATGGTGCAATTCATTGGATGAGTTACAAGAACGTTCACATTCAATTTGATGTTGATGCACCGAAGCTAATAGCAACTCCAATGCCTCCAAACCCTAAAATTCTTTCTGAAGATAATATTTGGTATTTTGGAGAATGTGGTGGCCATCTGCTTCTTATTCAGACTCCTGAGCACTCTGCTGTGAGATTTAGAATCCTTGAAATGGACAAGGACTACTCTCTTTGGATTGTGAAGTACTGGGTTGATCTTAGACCCATAATATCTGTGTTCCCTGAAATAGTTCACAGAAGCACGTTTGACGCAACCAAAATCTGTAAATTTTCTGTGCTATGTGTTGCGAAGGGAGCAAATGAAAAAGATTTTACTCTGGTGTTAGCTATTCCGGGAAAAATTGTTTTGCACAATTGGAAGTGCAAGGCACTGAAGGTGCTTTGTGATTTGCCGCCGCAGCGGGACTATGAAAACCGAGAATCAACTTGCTATTATACTGACCAATTCTTTGAAAGCCTATCTCCTATTTGATCAAAGCCCTACATGCTTGAGCAGGTATACTTACTGGACACTCTATCCTAATCGTTTATATAAATTAGTTTCTTAGTGTTAGAAACATTGAATATTGTTCTGTCTCAAATGGCAGTATGGTGTTTTTCTAAAACGTTTGTGCATGTGGCTCTATTTTGTTTTGTTTTTAGGCAAATGTTAATCAATCTGCTTGGAGCATTGTTTAATGTATTATAATTTGTGTAAACAGTGCTTTGAAATGAATTTTTTTTTTTTTCATTCAATGAAAATTATTACAGTTAGTGGAAAGAATATTTGTGTTAAAATGAATATTTTGTAAGATAGTGTTGCTGTATCCTTAAAATAAAATGAATATCCTCAACTACTTTCAAATGGAAAAGAGAATTCAAGTATTAAGTCAAAGATTATTGAGTATAACTCGTGGCAATGTCACAAATATATCCTCACGTCCAGGGATGAATTGGAAATTTATTTTAAGGGGGACCAAAATAAATTTAGCAAGAAAAATCCCTTAGCAAAGAAGAAATTTTAACATGTGCTTTAAGAAAAAGAAAACTAATAATGAGAAAAACTAATAAATTTATATTAATCAATAATGAAATCAATAGTATGTACTATTATAATAAATTATTTGACATCATTTTATATGCATTATAAGAATACTTGTGTGATATAGGGAACTAATGGCAAAATTTATCAAAAAATTAGAAATTATTCTATATACAATATAAAATTATTCATATGGGGATAATAATTATTCGTATGGGAATAATAATTTAAAAAAGTTTGGGGGCATGGGCACCCCTAACATCGTCCTTGCTTATGCCACAAATTCATCCTCAAGTCAATGGTGAGGATATGTTTGTGACATTGTTCAAGTCAATTGTGTTTATAGTTTATCACATTTTTATATTACATTTTGTTTGATGTTTCATGTGTCATCATTTTATCTTTTCATCTTACATTTCATTTAAGAAAAGACTTTGCCTCGCGTTCAAATCTAAACTAGAAGGTGATGTTTGTGCTTGTCACAAGTCCCGTTTTAGTGATATAAACTATTCATTTTTATAAAGTTCTTAGTGTATATCATCCATATAAAAAATTAGGTCAATATAATTATAGCCTATTCAATTTATCGCATTTGCCTCCTAAAAATTGACAACCAATTTTAAAAAAATGAAAATAAAAATAAAATATCAATGGTCTCTTTTGTCCCTGTCGCCATTATTTCCAAAAATGACAACATTCCCTTCTGGCAATCGCACAATGGGGATTGTACAATCTCAGCAGCCTACTCCTTTCTTAGCAACCATTCTTCTCCAGAAAATTGGTCTTGGCTTTGGAAGAATAAATGTCCTACAAAAGTAAATTACTTCTTGTGACATTGTGCTTATAATCGCTGACCGGTTAAAACTTGCCTAAACTGGATCGCCATGCCTCTTCTTTGTCTTCCTTGTCAACTTGTGACTGAAAGCCCGATACGTGCTTTAAGAGACTGTATTTGAGCCAAGGTTGTGCGGATAACGCTTCATCCTCCCATTGATCAACAAAGCTACTATCCTCCCTTTGATCAACAAAGCTACTTTAATCTATCCATTAAAAGAGTGACACATCCTAAATCTCACTACTCTCCAT